TCCAACGAATCGGATTATTTTTCAGCTCAGCCGAACGTCAAGTTATTCATTTTCCAAGGTGGTCGGCAGAGCAGCGACGAAGCTATCCACTTCGCAGTGCCAGTTCTTGGGTTCGCGATTTTCGTCGATCAAGATTATCAAGTAGGCAGAATGGAAGCTCTGGGCATTGGCAAACGTTTGGAAATTACAACTGTCACGAAAGACGAACTTGAAAGTAGTATTATCGAGCTCATAACTAATAAAGAGTAAGTATAAACTAGTTCGTATTATAATGGAGCTACATCAAGACCTTGATGCTACAGCAAAATTACTGAAAATTGCAGGGATTTTGAATTTTTGCTTTAGTTCCTACTCTATACTTTATCTATCTATCTATTACTCTCCTTATCATAATTACGTTATATCTATTCATTATTACTGTCGCTTTAGTTATCAATCCACAGTATATCTTAGTATATTATATATTCAGTAACTCCATTAGTAAAAATATCAAACTTCTGAACTCAAGTGTCTTCGCTCTTTCAATATTTCTACTACTTGGCCAAGTGATTGTAAAATCATTAAAAAAATATATTCGACAATAAAAGAGAACATACTCAACACTGCAAAAACTTTGAATTGTTCTAGCTATTATACACTATTATACATTAGTTCAATGATACATTATTCCGTAAAACAATGTCCGCAAATCAACCGATCTGTGATAATGCATGTATTAATATATCATTGAATTCTCATATCGTCTAATGTAAACAACGTTATACAAAATACACTCTACAAAGATTACCATAATTTACCAAATTATTGATCAAATAACGAATTGGAATATCTATCAACAATGTTTGATTCTAAATTAAGAGTTCCTGCATTTCCAACTTCCTTGTCTTTATAGAATATAAAATCATCTTTTTGTCACGCAGGAGGCTTCTGCGAAATTATTATATTTAATATAATAGAAACGTTTTCTTCAAAGTAACAACGTACGTGACTGCACTGTTGCATTTGTTTTCAGGTACAAAGAGAGAATAAT